CGTCGTTGACGGAGTTCCTCAGCAAAATATTCCCTAAATGTCCCTCTATAAGTACACGCAGGCCCTCCTTCACTACCCTCACCGTCTTCAGAATATGACGTCATCTGTCACCGTCGTCGAGCTCAGGGAGGCCTACAGTAACTGCTTCAGCCTGAAGCTCTTACATAATTTCTTGGATCGATTCAACGTGGTTTCCTAGGGACATTAGCTCTAACTATGCAAACCCCCTCGGAACCCGCCCTTCGAGCTTATAAGGGCTGATTTTCAAACTGATCAAATAAACGCTCCACCATTTGTGTGCATTGCATAAGTCGAGGATTTCCTCATTTGTATTACATGCACACCGTAGCTGAATAGCGTTAGAGACATGAGAAATTCTGAAGAAACTTTAGGATGGCATAAGCAATTGACGCGGCCCATTTTCTTCAAAAGAACAGAGCAATTCAAATCCACGCGTTAACCAAAATCAAACAACACCATTCTTAGTTTTCCGACACGCCGAAAACGATGGTTGCTATGCCGATTTACGAAATTTCCAAATAAGTCAGGAAAACTGAAAAAATTAGGGGGTGGCATATAAAATTGACGCGCACTGTATGCACAATGTTTGTTGCGCGTTCTTTTGAGCGCACGAGATAAATAAATAAATGAAAGTAATCAAGCCGATCATATGCTGCGTATGCATTTAAAGGGTTGGGACAAAAGTGCTTGAGAACCCTCAAAAAACACGCCTATACCACACTGAGCCTTGCACACTGCACGGTGCGTCACTATGTGGTATCCAGCAATTGCTTCACAAAGCCACTTATTTTCGATTATGGCTCCACCCACCCATACGTTCCCGCCTACCATGAACATTTGATTCCTCCCTTCTCTAGCTTCCATTACGTTCTTTCCATTGGAGCATTTTCCGATTTATTTATCCTTATTTCAGCTTAGCGCACGCCCCACTCACCAAAATTTGACCTTCTTTACAGGCAGGAGCCTCTCTAGGGTTGCGTCTCGTCTTCTGTTGTGAACAGGACCAACGGCATAGCACACGAGGGAGGTATACCGAAAGATCTTTTCCGTGTACCAAGCGCAGCCTGGTTGCCCCGAGGCCGAGAGAAACCTTGACAATGGCATCATACTGGCTCCGGAAGAGGACTATCAAATCATAGCAGGTGAATGACCACGACAAAAGGGATGTGAAAGGGTGTATGGAATTATAGGGGTTGGTTGGAGGAACGCTAACAGAGGGAGGATAGGCTCACGATCTGCTGGACCGCAGTACGTTCTCAAGAAGGGGAAACTCGGAAGTCACCGACAGCAATGGAGGGAAATCGATCGCATGCTCGCACGGAATATATCCCCTAAAACGATTTTGAACGACGTGGAAGCGATTATAATGAAGAGGGGGTCTATCGGTGAAGTGTGCGAAGAAGAAGCAGCAACTTGGCTGCCAAGGAAGCGAGATGTAGGCGCTTTCACGACGAAAGCTGGTTGCTGAGCAGGACTTCGAAAGCACTCCGCCCCAAAAGCGATCCGCCCACTAGTTTAGTTGGTGATTTGGACGAGCTGTGTTGCCAGCAGCGGCACAACTGGAGCAACTCGACTGATGGGTTGGCATTGTGGCATCAAGCCATCGCGGTAAACTCGTTCACACGTCCACCGTCTCTGCTCGCACCTGAAGCGAGAAATCACGATAAAGTGTGTGTGCAGCATGGATGTACATGCACCAGTTTAAGCAGTAAGCGGTTTACAATTTGCAAACTACCCCTTGATTTGTTGCAGGCTCGTCCATTATTGGAGGTCAACGGGCAAAGAAAAAGGTCTTAAAGTTAGCATTCCCATAACAAACAGCCAACTGGGAATTTCTCCAACATCCCCCACAAGTTCCTCACTACAAATGACCCTGTGAAGAAGTTCTGGCCAGAACACGTTTTCTTTCAATTTTTTCACTATTTTCTGAATCTTTACACCGAATGTGATTATGGGGTCACCCTGCGAAAATGAACAATTTATTACACTGTTGTGCATGGTGTTCCTTACGGCTGCTTTCATGCGCTTCGGCTGTTTATTTCAGGCGTTCTCTCAAGTTTTCATGGGCTCTGCTCTTTTTTACTGGTGATGGCGCTCTCATTTCGTTATCTATTGTATCCATTTGCGTTTTTTATTTCTTTACTGTATTCATACTCGAACAATCGCACCAGAAAGCATAGAAATCAATAAAATCCTTACTGAACAAACAGTTCGCAATGAAACGCTTCATAGACCCATATAATACACGTTAATGAGACGTTGTCAAAAAAAGAAAAAAACAACAGCCGGCACTTGACGTAGCTCGCAGTGTTTACCCCATGGACATTGAGGCCCTACTGCGCCTGCACACTATCACAAACTTCGCTGCCCCAAAATTAAACAACCAAACATGGAAAATCCACTTAAATTCCTCAAAGCATACGATAAAGCCATTGTATGGAAAATAGAGAAAAGGAATACAGGAAGTACTTTCAGCGAAAGATGGAAAGGAGGCAGTTAGTAGAAAAAGAATTTCAGACAAAAGCGGGGGTACATTAGTCCCCTAGTAGCTCCTCCTTCTCCTGGAACGACTTCACCGCATGCTGCTTCATAAACTTGATAAGGTCTTCGGCATCGCGACTTCCTCCGTATTTGATTGGAGTCGACTTAAAAATCATTTTTTGGTAGAAACTCGTATGAAACTAAGAAGGAGCTCACCTTCTTCCCGCTTGGAGCGAAATAAATATCAGGGTGATTCTACATGGATACGCTGAAGTGGTCGTTGACCGGTTGCCTAAATTTGGCAAGTGAGATTTGGATTGCTCTTTTTTTAGGCTGAGATGCAAATCTTTATACTTTCGGTTCCAAAGGCCTGACAATACGTATTTCGTATAGCATACATTATACGAAGTTATACGATAAAGCATTGGTCAAACTACCTTGCAGTGGCCACACCATGGAGCATAAAATTCGACGAGCACATCTTTACTTTCGTCATTAAGAACCTGAATAGAAACTGTTCAGTGAAGTGGATGACAAGTAGCGGCAAGAAGACATTACAGAAGATGGCCTGACAACAACAACTGCTGTCCACAAACCTTATCAAAGTTCGATGCTACCAATGTTCGTACAGGACCCTTATCATCGCGTGGCACTGGCGCCGACTTCACAAATGGTTTCACTTTTCCTGAAGAGAAAACACAACTCAAAGGGTTCCTGAAGGACAGCTGAGAAACCTCAAATCTCACCAGCGCTTATTTTCTTCATGAATCCTTCCAAATTTTCATCAAAATCTCCATCAAACTCCTTCAGGATCCATAGGGTACTTTTTGCCATCGTATCCGAACACGATAACGTTCTGTTCAAGTCCAGAATCACCTTAACAAGTGTAATGCTTATCGAAGAATTTCTAAATATACTAATGAATCGAAATAACCACAAAGCAATATATTCCTACTTTATTCACTTGCATTAGCTTCCAGTACACCCTTCTATCACGGTATAGGTAAACATAGGGGCAAGGTTGTTTACGCCACATTCGGTCTGGGTGTGAAATTTTACATGGAGTCTTGTCCAGGACAAGCGAGGGTTCCATGCTTCTGGCGTCGTCTTTCTTGCATCAGATTTTCTTACAGGAAAGGAGCACCAAAGCATCGACTGTTTCGCAGGATCAGTCTGCCACTGTCTGCGCCAATAAGGCACTGCAATTCTGAATCAAAGGTGGATACATGGCACATCCCCAAAAGGAATTGCTTACGCGGGATGCCTCGCGGTTTACTTCCTACATCACTTGCCATCGCCTCTGAAACCCTAAAGCTCCCACTCCCACTTGTTTTTCGTTAGCTTCATCATGCCCATTGAATCGTAAATCCTTATTAGATTGCGCCACGCACTTATCAGTCGCGTTCCACTTTTTGCCACTTAACGATTTCGATTTGAAATCATGGAATGTGCTAACTGGAATGGGAAGACATGGGAGTGAAGGTCGACGGCCGGCAACTACACCACCTTCGTTTTGCTGACGACATCGTTCTTATAACGCCGAACATCGAGCAAGCGGAGCGAATGCTGGCTGATTTCGACTGCGCCTGTGGTAAGGTCTACAGCTGAACCTAACGAAGACGATGAAAGAGAACGGATTGGTTCCTCGACTCTTATCATTTTTTGCAAATTCCGTCAGTAATCCATTCGCAACGCTATCCTAATCCGAACATTTTGCTCATGTTCATCTGCGAATTCTTTCTTCATCAGTCAACCCGCGAAGCGATACTTGTCCTTTTGTAAAAACTGGAAGGAAGTTGTTACACCAGCTAAACAAAGACACATGAGAAACTTATATCGACTTATCGATTCTATCGGAGCCAGTATGGCGAAAAGTGAAGTTGCCCGAGACTAGGTGAAACAGTAACCTTTTGAGCAATGTTTAGAACTTTTTGACGCCAGTACTCGCTTCCATCTCTGTATTGCAATGAGAAATCAGCGTTATAGTAGACAACCACCAGAGGGAACTTGTTGTACCGAGTAGCGACGTTTTCCTGACAAGAGCAAAGTTTCACTTGAGGTAACTCAAATAGGCAGAGCAATGTAGAACAACCTTAGTCCTCTTGCCCACTAGAGGAGTGCTGTGGTCACGTAAGAACGAGGTCAACTCCTCAGGTGTAGCACCAGCCTGAAAAATCTCTTTTTGAATCTTTCAAATAGAATAGTCTTAAACGGAACCCAAAACATTTCAACTACGCCATACCTTGTTAAACTTCCGGCTTTTTGGCTCAAATTTGCTTTTGGAATATAGTCGGGTAGAAGATGATTATATCATTGGGCTTCGCGTCAAATTTCTTGAACGCTTTCGTGTCGGTGGTGTAGCCCATAGACTTGAATTCCTAAACAAAACCAGGGGTTAAAAACCCATTCAAGGAAACTATTATCACTTGTTGATTTTATACCTCTCGTAACAGCTCTGCCGCTTCGCTATAAGCTCGAAGGCGCGAAATCTTCTATTTCTAGCAAAAAATGCTACAATGTAACGTCCTTCTTTCGCGCCATGAACCTAAATCATAAATATAAAATCGACTTCTAGCAAAAAATAATATACTCAGTGCGCTCCGCATCGCCTTTTTAAATTGCCCAACATTTTTTCATATTATTCTCTATTCCCTGTATATAAGCTCTCCATAAAGCAGTGATTTGGCGTGTTTGTCTGTCAGTCTGTTTGTGGCCAACAAGCTTGCTAGCTACGTAGACCTAGTAGAACAATCGCGTGGGTAGAGCAGGGCTTGGTAAGAACCGGGTACGGTAGTGGGCGGAGCGCGGTCCAATGAGCGGTGGGGTTTGGGCCAAAATCTGGGTTGAAAGCATCGTTCCGCGTTCCGGATTCCGCTTAGAGAGCCAGAATGAGGTTGGAAATCACACTATTGATTGGGTGCTGCAGTAAAAATTCTATCGGGTCTACGCCATCGATCGATATAATCAGAAATGAATACATCGACTACCAACACAAATAATACACCCAAAAATTTAGCGAAGAGAAGGGTCAAAAAAGGGCGTGGTAGGCTCGCTTGTATGCTCCCTTTCTGAATAGACTTTCTGAGAGGACTAATCAAGAAACAGCTTTCCAAAAATAAGCATCAATAGTAGCGCCACAAGGCGGTGCTCGACCCAAAAGGATACGGTAACAACGACTGGACATTTGCCTCGACCACTACTCTACCTAATCGATAGAAACCGCCATCTGCGCATTTCTTTGCAGCTGGTTTCGCCAACTCTTTCATGTGATCAATAATTCCATAAGCGTCACGAGGGCCCTTGTACTCCGATCTTAAAAAAAAACTATGGCTAGGCAACGCTACAAATACCCGAAATATTTAAACGTGACAGTATGACACCGCAACCTCCTTCCATGGCGCATGACCATTAATGTGGGAAAACCATCAACAGCATACGTTTGAGCCAGCTCTTTTTCTGCTTCAGCATTCACCTTTGCAAGTTTGATTGAACTACCCTCATCCTAAAAATGTGGGATGCACTGATCTATTTCATACCATTCGATCAGATATCCAAAAGTTGTAAAGCGAGATGGAAAAAGACAACAAATTTACCCTAAGCTTTTTCGCAGCCTTTTCGTAATTCGTTCCAAGTTTTTGCAGTGGCCACACCTTAATTAGCACATCTATTAATATTCAGCTTTCACAGCGAAAAAAAAAGGTTCAAAAAAATACCATGGAGCATAGAATTCCACCAGGCAGAGCTCTTGTTCGCTTATGAAGTCAGTGAAATTCGCGGAAGTCAAAATAACCACAGGCCGACGAAGGTGGTACGTAGTTCGGATCGGTACGAGTCAAGACCCATTCCACGATCTCTGGAGGTTTTTGTTATCAGCTCAGTTATCATCAAAACAAGGAAAAACAGCACTCGAACATGGTTAGTATTACTGCTGAAGAAAAAGGAATTACCTTCTAGCTCTCTGCCTCCGTCATAATCCTCCGGTCCCTCTCCCTCAAACCAAAACTTCATCGTAGTCGTATAACTTCGTA